TGTAGCGTTCATAAAAACACTCCACTTCATCACAGCATCATAACAGAAAAATTCTGACTTTGTTCATAATCAGTAATACATCTCTCAAAAATGACAAGGTGGCTGCAAATGAAAATTCTGAGCATTGTTTAATTAATCCTGAGCCCTTGTCCATAAGATTGCTTGTTTTTCTGTTTGCACACATCACAGCATCATAACAGATATGACATGCATCAACTGCATTCCCAAGTGACAACCACCGAACGGCATTTATGTCTTTGAGAGTTAAGTTTGGCTCATTTAACACATCTTGCATCAATTTCAGCTTTACAATCCTAATATCGGGCATGTGAAAATAAGCATACAATGAACCTAAAATACTCTGGCAGCTTTGAAACAGGGATATTCCATCAGCAGCTTGCAAAACAGCTAAAGCTAAATGGAGAGCTATGCAGTGATAGTGCAACAAACCAGGTATCGTATCTTGAAATTTTTTGCCAAGTCCGTTGTTTTTTCCCATCATAACAGCAGCACCATCTGTTGAAAGGCCAACAACTTTTGATAACGATACTTTTTTTTTCGTTAAAAAACTTTATCATTATTTCTTTCAGTGTCTCTGCATTTCATTCACCCGATAGTTTTAAATTTGCCCAAAGACTGTTCTGACTTTCATTGTTTTTCAAATACAGTCAAAAGTCGTTAATCCAGACTCGTCGGGACTTCGGCGATTCCGGATTATCGATTTTTCCGGATTATAGATCATCAGTTTAAATCTGGTAAGATGGCATGCAGAAATTACAAAATTAAAAATATGAAACCGTAATTTATGAAATAAAGAACAATTATGATCTAAAGGGTATCAAAATTTACAAAAGAAAAAGCTTAGTATTTATTTGTTTACTTTATTAAACATTTCTTTCAATGTAAGTTGTTTCGTTTCATGTGATAATACTTTCTCTTTAATTCTATTAAACAGACATAATTTCTTGTTTAGTTACAAAGTTCCGCTGTTCAAGTCCTATAATTGCTGTGTTGAGAATACCGACTAATTTGTCAATCGAAATGTTTTCGTTTTCAATAACCTCTGGGTCACTTTCTTCACTGTCGGAAGCGAATTATAATGACGAGGAACTTGATTTAAATCATATCAAAGACAGAGTGCATCGAGCTGAAATACTACACTTAGTAAGGAATTATAAGCCAAATAAAATAAAAACATCTGCCCTCAAGATAAGGATAGTGCTGACAGATCAACTTCCAATCCGCGGCGTGAAATTGATAAACAGATTTCGGATTTCAAAACATACTTTCGCTTTGTAGATACAAATTACATATTAGTAAATATATATCGGAAATTCTATTTGACATAATCGAAAGTTCAAGCTTACTTTTATGAAATTACTCTAACAGTCTGCAAAAAATAATAAGCCGGATCCAATTCGAAGATTAAGGAACTACGCAATCTGCAACATTAACTGAATTAGATAATTTTAGCTTAGCTTATACCTCCGTTACACATTAAACGCGCATGCGCACAAACATATTCGCAGCCGTAAAGGTCTTGCGCGCACTCTTAAACGCCTGTGCGCATGTGTGAACGTGACGCATGCGCAGAAAGTTTGTAGCTTTGAGGTCCGGATTATGGGTGTCCGAATTAACGACTTTTGACTGTATTTCACATATATAATTATTTTATGGTCAACTGAAGTATCTGTTGACTCATCTATCATTAAAGAAATATAGGGACTTTGCGAAACATCCTCATCCAAATTTGATTCTAATACTTCCGAAATAGGTTTAGTTATGTCTGTAACTGAATTTGAGATAAATTCAAGTGAGTTATTTTCACAGTCTCATTTCCACAGGATTTCATAAGCATCATTAAAGGCTTAAATTTCGTTAAAAGAAGTTCTTCTTTTCCAATAGTGTAAACAGTTTTAAACACTGCCAAATCGTTATCTGTTGCTGTAGATTTTTCCTTTTCAATGATATTTTTAAGAGCTTTAACATCTTTCTTGGCATTTAAAGAAAGTCTGTGTTCCATAGTTTTTTCGTGGCGAGACAGAGTACTTCTTTGGAAACATGATGAACCCATCACACCCACGCCATTCTTCATATTGGCAGATTGACATGTTTCACAAAACATTTTATTTTCCTCTTTATTAAAGAGGGCCCAAGGAAATTCTTTAAGCCACTTACTTAAAAAATTATCATGTTTAGAAGTTTCTTCTGGTTGTTTATCAATCTTTGGGTTCTTAGCTGACGGTTCTGAGCTGGTTGACACTTGGCTTGATGACTTTTTTATAAAAAAACTCCTTGATGGATTTAGAACTCATATTTAAATATTTAAATTAATTTTTCTCCTGGAATAATTGCTTCGGTCTCAAGGGGACCACCCTTATTGAATTAAATAGTTTTAAAAAATTAGTTAGAAACTAAAAAATATTTTTGATGTGCTTCTCCTAAAAGCTGATCACTTGTAGAAACTTTCGTTTTGTTTTGCAGACTGTATGGAATTTCTTAAATTTAAAATTTTCTTCATACGAGGTCTTAATTTTGCTTAAAATATTAATTTTTATATAAAAGGAATTTATCTTGTAATCACGAATACAAATTACAATTGTTTTAAGAGCGACATTTAGTTAAAATCAGCAATGAGTTTGGCGATCTCGCTCCATCAAATTAAAACAATAATAATAATAAAAATTATACTTCTCTCCTACAGAATATTTCAAGAAAACAAAAGTATTTACAGCAGGGTTTGTACAATCCGAAAGTACTTATTTTTGCTCAAAAATAGGTAAAAATCTCGAAATTTACACAAAATATTGTTTTTTGAATAGATAGATGTTAGCTAAATATCGATTTTTGCTTGGGGTGACTCTTAGATGAATTAATTTCATATAACCAGAACATTAAATTTCGATTTGCCCACTAGAAGATCGAAAAAAGATGTCTTTTTATCACAGCCGACAATTATCGATGAGATTTCAATTTTTGAACCGAAAAACGTGATAAAATTGCTATTTTTTTTAACGAAAAGATAGCAATAAAGCATCCAGATTTGTGCTGTAAGACTAGTGAAGATTATATTTTAAAATAGAAGATTGGAATTAAAATTTTATTTTTGTCCTGGTAGTTTTCGGTAAAATGTTGACTTTTTTCTGGACTAGTGCAGAATAATAAAAGAATTAAAAATGCAAACACTATAAGCATAAATATAATTTAAAGGCATATTAGAAATCATGCTAGAAAAATTTTAAAAAAAACTTAATTTCCTTTCTATATGCTTTTAGTTCACCTTAAATTTTCTGAAAAGAGTGCAAAAGATTTTTCCAGCTTGTAATGTGAAATTTCACCGAACTCCCAAACCACGTGTGTCGATAACCAATTTTGCTATTCGAATGACCATCCAGTAATATAGAATGCGTGATGAAATCAGTGCTCGTAAATATACAATGAAACTTCAATTTCTTTCTTCAGCTTCTTTCTTCTACCCTCTGGCCGTGATCACTAAGTCAGCATGGCGTCGCGCTGTGCCGCGTCTGTATTCCTTGCCGTGGAGAAGTCGGCCGAAAATGTCTCAGTGCTGTTTTGAGAAGAAAAAAATATTATTTGTTGATTTCGGTGGGTTGCTATGCATTTTTTAAGCTAAACCTTTGTTAAAAATTCAGTGCATGAAAATACGCCTGGTTAGTTTTTTAAAGTGTATTTCCGATTTTCAATGCTTGAAATATGCTCTCAGAGGCATTAAAAATATCTCTGTATATATATATTTGTACTTTCCATTTATACCAAACTTGGGAAGAAAGAACTGACGTATTTTGATCTTGGTGCAAAACAAAAGATTACCTGTTATTTGTATGCCCATTATTAATATTCTTCAGGAGGTGAAAATGTTTTGTATAAATTTTTAGTGGTTAAAATATTAAATATTCTCATTTTCACTTTGGCAAAATACAAATGGTTAGCACTTGTGCCCATTGTCCTTCAACTAGTGAAAATTTTCTTTTTAAAATAAAACAGTTTTGTTGTTGTTGAATGTTTAATATGTTTGCTATTTTCAATATGCCCCCAATGGGAAAAGATGCTGTAGCCAGAAAGTAGATTGCTTATGGATATTACCAAAGGGGCAAGACAAAAACACAGGGATACATCTTGCCAAGTTATACCTAGAAGAATTCATCTTCAGGTATCACATTTATCATGATAATGTGCTTTAACAAATTATTAACAGAAATTGTTGAACTGTGGCCATTAGAAAGTGTCTGTTAAAATAAATTTTGTGCCAGAATGTAGATTGCTTCTGGATATTATCAAAGGGGCCAGATAAAAAACACAGGGATATAGCTTGCCAAATTATACCTAGCAGAATTCATCTTCAGGTATCACATTTATCGAGATAATGTGTTTTAACAAATTATTAACAGAATTTGTTGAACTGTGGCCACTAGAAAGTGTCTGTTAAAATGAATTTTTATATATAATGTTTAATTTAAATAATTAGCATACAAATTTAAGTTAAATAATAAATGCAAATTTATATTAAATTATATCTGTATATTTAAATTAAATAAATTATATTATGTAGTTATTGAATAAAGTGCCATTTTGGACTGGTCTGCATTTAGTCAGTTTTGTTTTTGTGGTTGTATATACCATTTGACAGTACATTTACTTCAGCTCATATTTTGCCAATGCTGTTTTCTGTTGCCAAGGTTGCTATAAAAAGAAAGTGTCTTTTTTTGTCAAAGGAAAGTGGTGACTTTTTTGCAGGATTATTTAGTTTCAATAGTAAAATTATTAGGAAGCATCAAATTATACAATCATTTGTCAAAATCAGTTTAAAACTACAACTTTCTATGTAAATCAAATTGGTACTGTTTACAGAGTTCTCATTATTTGAGTTTTTTTTTTTAATTTAACATTTAATAAATATACCTTTGCTATATTTAATGATGTATTTAAATTTTTATATGGTGTGTATGATTGATAAAAAATTGAAGTAAAACTTTTTTTAGGATGTTGTTTCAACACCAAATCAGTTTAATGCAACATTTGTCACAAGTGCTTCACCTGCAAAATCTGCTGAAAATGTTAAACTGCCAGATGTTGTTTCTGCAGCTGACATTAAACTCAGTGCGTTGTCTAATTCAAGTGAAAAGTGTAATAAATATATTCAAAAGAGGTAATTTCTCCCCCTTGAAATATTGTAACTATGTTTTTAATAAAATATTTTCCTTGTTTCATTTGAACATAAATAGACTTATTCCCTCCAAAAAATATCTTTTGTCATTTGCCAGGGAAAACTTAGAATAGTTCCTAATAACCTATTTTTTAGAGATTGATGAATCGTTATCATTATCCTAATTGTTAATTTATTAGATTTTTTAACTGATTTAGGGAGGGGCAGGAGCCAATGAATAAGCAAGTAACATAAATCTCATGCTGTTTAAGAAGTTCAATAAATTTTGTTGCTGAAGTAAATAAGATTATTTTAATTTTGTTAATGAAAATGCAGTAGGTATATTCTTATTATGTAAATAAAATAAAAAAGAAATTATAATGTTTTTTCTTATAAATTTTATTTATTTAACCAGGTTTTATTGTTGTAATGAGTTAATGAAAAAAAATTATTAATAAATTGGAGGGGGAGAAATGATAATTTGTTCCTAATTTTTTTTTAGTTTCACAGTTTTTTAAACTGTATAGTTTATCATTTTTAATACAGGTAATTTTTATTTTTGCATATTTTTTTTCACTCATAGTCCTATTCTTTCTAAGTAAATCCTATTATTTAAAGGAAGTATTGAAATGTGAAAATAAGTATTGTTTTAAGTATTGAAATGTGAAAATATGCATTTATGTAAAAATATCTCATTAAAATTTGTAAGAGTGGATACTGAAGAATAATATTTTGAACTAAAACTGGATAAAACTAGCAGAAAAGGGCAACAACTTACAGTAAGTAATAAAAGCATTCAAAACAATGGATTAACTAGTAAAATTTAATATTTCATTAAATTACTTTTATTAAACAAAAATTTAGTATGTTAAATGTAATATTCTAGTAATAAAAAAGAATAAATTTGTTCAATTTCTGTTTATTTAAAATTATATTTCTAGAAAAATAGGCACTTAAAATTAACCTTTAATATTAAAAATAAATGAAAGTAAATCATCAGAAAATAAAAATTAATCCTCAGTTGTTTGTAATCTTTCATGTGCCATTTAGAAAGGCTGTATATTTGAAACTAAATGAGCTACAGCTGGCTTACAAATTTGTTTTACATAGTTCAGAAGCAGTTTTATGTTTATGGAGACATTTTGTGGAAGAGAAGTGAATGTGACATCTTAAAGTTTTTCGACATCTTAAAATGCCATTTTAGGCATTATAGGCCAGTGCCCCAAGTTAAAAGGTTAATAAAAAGTTTATAGTAGAATGTTACATGTTGTCAGTATTCTCTGCAGAATAATAATAATAATAATAATAAATAATAAAAAAAAAACCCACCAAAAAATGTGGAATGGCAACATCACTATTACATATAAGCAGCAAATATGCTTACCTTCCAACAAAGTACATAGTCATTTCCAACAGATTTCAGCTCTACTTGCAAAGAAACTGAAAGAGAAAGAAAAAGAAGGGGGAAGAAGTATGAAGGATACTGATCTTCAGTACATCAGGCCATTATAAGAGATTGTCAGTTATAACAACTTTAACGTACAAAGAGACCTCTGATTTGGCAATAGCTACCTTCTTTTGCAGTGAGCATCTGTCCTGTGATCAGTTTACTACAACCAGGTTATGCACTTTGAGAAAAGTTTAAAATCTGCTAGATTAAGCATGTAATGAATTGAAGTGCAGATCAATAGTAAATGATTACTGAGATTCAAGATGGTTGGATCTATGATAATTCATTCATTGCTAGTATTATTAATTCTGTTACTGAATGTATTTTCTTTATCTCTGTAAAAGTCTGGTTTAAAAACTGAAATTTACTGTGCTCAGATAGCCAAGATAGGAATAATGTAAACAGGAAAAGAATACACAGTGTGAAAGCTTTTATAGGTAGCATAAAATGGAATCAGTGAGAAAGAATGTTCTTGAGAAGAGCCTTCAGTTCTAATAACAAATTAAAAAGTGATATGCTCATTATCTTCATCATTTTAGACATGATGTTACACCACCATTAGTTATGAAGCATGTAATATCTCTACAGAAATATTTCAAGAATTATTATAAATGAGAACATGAAACCACAAGTGCTTGGCAGTATCAGAAGGGACAGTCTATTAGATTGTTGGCAGTCATTTGTAAGAAACTGTCCATCACACTAGCATATTTTTTTCAATGCAGTCTTACAAAATGTTTAATATTTTTTAAGAAAGCGAAAGGTGGTTGGTCTTTTGCTGTAAAATACTTCACTGGAAAAGTATGGCCAAATGTTGAATTAGCTGTTAATAACCTTTAACTAATTGTTGTAAACATGTGGTTGAATTAATTTTATTTTTAAATACCTTCTATTGCTTATTGCGTTTTCTATAAATTTTCAGTTATTTTACGAGTTTTGCCAGGTGCTGCCACTTTTATGGCAGAAAAGAGATTATGCCATGCTGTTTTTAACCAGTTATTACCATTTTAGCATAAAAATACTAATCCTGATATATTAATACATAACTTTTCTCATGTAATGCAGTAGAAAATTTCTAAATTAATGCGATTTATATTGGTGAAAAGCAAAAATGTTAAAATTAATCCAATTTCTTCTTTAATTGACTATGAGAAACATCAAAACTAATCATTTTCTTTTCCTCTCTCTCTCTCTCTCTCTTTTTTTTTTTTTTTTTTTTTTAATTCTTGGCTGAATCATCAAAATAAATAGCTTACTGATCAGGGAATTGCAAATTCCTTCCCTTTATGAAAATGCAAGAAAATATCTTATTAAAGCATGTAAATTTTGTTTTGAAAAGTTTTTTTTATTCTACACAGACATAATTTCTGCAAAGCAAATGTTGGAACATAATGTTATGCACAAACATTTTCTGTAATCATATAGTATGCATTCTACAACTTTTAGTTAGCTGTCTGTTTCTTAGATGGCTCCATGAAAATGCTGTTTTAAAAAATGAGTAGGTGATAAAATGGCAGAAAAAGAAATGATTAATACAATAATCAATTTTAGCACTGTCATCTTAAAAATAAAGAAATAAAAGCAGTAGATCACATATTATATGACTGCCCATTTTTCTCTTTGCAATTTATATTCCTAAATTTGGATTCTTTAGGCATAACTAAAAGATAATCATACTTTAAGAAATATTTAAACAGATGCATTGAACTGAAACATTTTACATAATTATATATATGTTTCGGTAAACGGGCAAAATCCATTTTGGCATCATCACCAGCAACGAGATCCACTCATACCTAGGCCATGTAGCAGCTTATAACATGGTTTTTATGGTTTCTGATGCCAGTATGAACCTAGGAAGCTGACACACCCCCCCAAGGACCACCCTTACTTTATTTAATATATAGCAATCACCCACTCTGACTTGACAATAACCATATGGTTTTTGCTGAACCTGGATGGATAACCATATATACGATGACTGTAGTCACTGTGAAGGCAGCTAATCTCCCCCACACTCTCCAGTTGCAACACGTGGGCATAATAAGTGGCCAGCATGGGCAATCGATTTTGGCATGCAATTACTAGTAAAAATTCGAAGTATCTTGATAAACCATGATGGTTGAAAGGATTATCTCGATAAACCATGATGAATTTATATTGCCCATCTGCTCCATTTTGCATATCAATAACTTTGCAGACTTTGTACGTTGATAGGAATAAATTGATCATTTTGGTAGTAAATATTAGCGTATTTTACCCCGTTCAAAGTCCATCACAACCTTAATGTCTAATTGCTGTGTGAGCTCCTTCATTTTCATTAAAAATTTCAACTGGCAGGTGATTTCATACAGAGTTTTCATTAAAAAAAACTTCTTCAATATATGTATTCCTAGTGGCTTATCCATTCAACCAATCGAAATGAAATTTTAGATATTGTTATTTGAAGGTATGTGCTCAAGATTATGATGATTTAAAACAATATATCTTTTACTGCTACAGTGAAAAAATTTTCAAAAGGCAACATCCACATTTTTAATGCGCAAATTGATCAGGACATTTAAATACCATAAATGGCGATAGAACGATAACATATGATGAAAAGTGCTAGTGTGAAATATTTGCCAAGAAGAGCATTGTAAAGGACCAGTGAAAACACAAGAAAGAAAAGTGAAAAAAAAAATCTTATTGGAATTTAAAAGTTTTCAATGTGCTTACCGTCACAGAAGATAACACATTACATGTGGATGCAGAGAGTTATAGGAGATGACTATCTCCAAAGTGCTGTTGTAGCACTTCCTGAACACATATGGTGATGTGTGGAGGAGCACCATCTTGCATTCATACAGTGCCATTAACAACAATTGTGCTGCTGCAATTCTGGAATTACATGATTCTGCAACATTGTAGTATACTGAGCACTTGTGATGGAGCATGTTTCCATACCTGTGGAAATGATCTCATCAAAGAAATGTGGATCAAGAACAAATGTGCTTGTGATGTCACACCACACAGCCACTTAGCTTTGTGTAAAGGCACTGGTCGTCATGAGAATTTTTGTCAGCCTAATGAACACAGTTCTTAAAGTTTACATTCCTCTTTAAGGAGAAAAACCCTTTTGCCTTATACATCTATAATATCCACAGTGGCCACCTGCTGTCTTCATCATATTTGATGAGGAAAAAATTTCCAAAGTTGACATGCTGTTGCTCTTCTCCAGGTCAACATCTGTATGTGCTGAGTTCAACAAGGAAACATCTGCAGGACAGAGTGCAGGAGCTGGAGGACTGCAGTTTTCAGTACATCCCAACTACGAGCAACACTTTTTGCTATATGCAATGGACCTTACAGCAGTTGTATTATGCACTTTTGCAAAACTTCAACAGGAACACATGGTCATCTGAATCGCAGTCTATCATATGTGCATCCAGTTCATTTAAAGTTTTATACCAAATCACGTACAGTTTTTGTGGATCATGGACTTCATCTGATAAATTCGCACTGCTTCAGCAACATTTTTCTTGTTTAGATAAAACAGCTTTATCAATTCACCTTGTTTCCGTGTAAATGTCATATAGTTAGCCCGTTCGAACATTTGATTGAAGAAACAATCTTCCCACACTGCTTATTAAAGATTTCTTACAATCATTGCCTTGCACATGGTATTCTGGGTTTGGTATTTCTACTGTATGTCGTAGTGGATTATACAAAGTATATCAATGCACCTCCTATCTGTGTTGTCTTTGTTTCTTTACAGTGCTGTTCTTTGCAAATGTTTTATGCCGGCAATTTTTTTCATATATGTATTGTTCCAGTGCCATTTATGGTTTTTCAATTTACTCAGAAAAAACGTGGGTGTTGCCATTCACAATTTTTTGTTGTTGTTGTTGCTGTAATCGTAACTGTGAGCACTCTATTATTTAAAATCATCACAGTCTTAAGCACATACCTCCAAATAACAATATCAGAAATTTCATTTCGATTTGTTGAGTGTATAGGCCGCTAAGGGTTCATATATCAGAGAAGTTTTTTGAACTACACAATAGCTACGACAAAGCTGCAAAAGGCTTAGATTATTTATCGATAGGGTTGTACTGAGTTGTTATACATGTTATAAGAAAGAGTTCTGACAAAAAGTTGCAGTAAATAAGGAAATTAAAATTTTAATTCGTAGCTTTCCCATCTCTGTAGTGATAACCAGTTGTCACTAGTAAGTACGAGGAATAACGATGCTCTCTGATAATTTGCATTTATACTAGTAATTAATGGATTTTGGTTATTTACAGTTGCATATATTTATAATTATATGAAAATGTAGTAGAGAGGGAAAGAGATAAATGGTAAAGAAATTTTTGAGAAGTAAATAATTTTTGTAAAGAGTCATCAAGTATTTTATATCTGTAGGCTGTTACTTTCAATGTAATTTTTATGCTCTTAACTGAGAGAATAAGTAAATAAAACACACTGTTTACAAAAACCCTAGAAGTAAGGTTTTCTCTAAATTGAATCTCTATGATAATTCTGCTGCTACATTAGATGCATGTGCAGATGGATTAAATATTTTAATAAGAAATGCTAGAAGGGACAATTTTATTTATTGTGAGAAAATTTAGCTACTCTTTTCTTTACCATGTTTTCTATTTTTAAAATAAAAATCTCACAATTTTCTATTCATAGATTCATTCATTCATTTCCTTAAATTGCATAAAATGTAAACAAATCAGCTATAAAGTGCATTTAAGTTGAAATAAGATGAGCAACTTTAGTTTGCTTCCCATCACTTCTTGATTGCTTTCATTGCATTTAGTTATTCATCTAGTAAATAAATAGTTTTGTTGCAATTTCTGTAATTAATGTTTTTATTGCATTTTTCCCCATTAGCTGCATAATTAAAAATTTATGACATGCAAAACTTTGTAGTACATGTTGTATTAATGCTAAATTAAAGTGCGAGTTTCATTGCACTTTGCTCCATCTAGTTTAAAATATAAACTTTTAAATTTATTAAATTAAACTTATATTTTCAGTTCCAAATTTGCATCACCGTCATCTTTTGTAAATTATGATTTGTCCGATACAGACACAAATTCCGATGATGAAGATGAACGACCCCGGAAGCCTTTTCCATCATGGGCATTTGGTATGATTGTATCATTTTCTATAATGTTTTAAATCATAACATGCAACTCTTCTGTAAGGAACTAATTCGTCTTTTTTTAGGTCTTCCTTTGCGAAATGCATTGTTGCATCAGCTTTATAATCCGCCGGATACAGATGTTTTATTTGGAAATTTCATTAAACCTCCAAATTTAAGTGAATTGTTAGGAATAACCAAGAAAGAATATAACATAAGGTCGAGTTCTGCTATTTGGCATTCACCTGTGTCTATCTGTGAATGAAATCTCTGTTGATCTACTTTGCTATGGTAAGCATGATCTTCCTAGTATTTAATAAGTATGTGTACCATATAAAATAGAGTGAGACCTTCTCAATATGATCATCCATAATAATGGTATCCACATGGTTTTAGTACTTTGTTAATATAAAATAATCTTAGAAAACATGATTATTAGGGATGATCAATACTGTTATTTAAATTGTTCTCAAAAATAGTGATCAGAATTGGTCACAATAAGAGGTTTCACTCTATATGAAATTGTTCTTAAAAGTTAAAAGGTCTCTTAAGCATCTAAAATATCCTAATTTCCAAAATATCTTATTAAGGTGAGTAACAACTACAAAATAGCAAAATTTTACTGAAAAACTCATAGAAAAAATTATAGTCTTCCAGCTACGGGACAAACATTTATTTATGAAATGAAGATGTAGAACAGCTGAGTTGATACATAGTAAGCAATATGAAACCACAGCACTTAGCACTTCTTGCTCAAAGATGATATTCATAAAAAAAAAAAAAAAAAAAACATAAAAAGTATTGCAGCAAAGGCTGATGTATTGTGCATAATATACTGTTTAGTGAAATAGATGGCAGTTGACAACATATGCCTTTTCAATGTTGATTGATTCACTCGTTCTTGAAAAATAATAATTAAAAAAATACGTATTAAACAATATTCAGTCCAATAAACGAACAGTTTTAATGTTTAACAGAAATCGGCTTATCAGCTCTCATTTCAATGGTAGGTGTGTAGTGCACATCCGATTCACCACATTCATATACTTTTTGTGCGGAAGTGAAAAACTGAGTTCTTCAGAATCTTCTGAGCTCCTTGGTTGTCATAATATACTGTTTTCTATCTTGTAACCAAGCTCCTTGAAAAAACAGCCATTGGTATATAGTTTCTTTAGTAGCTTCAGAAAGAGCCATATATTCCTTGATGACAGAGCTACACTGTGTTATTTTCATGATTTCCAGTTTATGACAGATGCTAAAAATTCTAAGGGATTTTCGATCATCAGTATTTGATGCCTAATCCGCAAATGTGATAATTAATTCCTTCCTCTTTTTTTTTTATAAATTAATCCTTTAAGTTCTGATTTCCTTCTTATATCGAAGTGTTCTTTCAGCAGCAAACAAATATTCCATGGGTATGAAGCCGGCAGTTCAGTTGTGTTTATAACATCTATTGCACTCCTAATAGAATGTGCAACATTTTTATGAAAGGAAAATGTAAAGTAGATAAAGAAATCAAACATCTACATACTACATGATTGGCTCTTCTGTAATAATGTCAATCACGTACCAGTGTGTGATCAGCAGTGAATGTGTTAAGTCTTGTATAAGAGAATGGTGTATATCATTTCCAAAATTCACATAAACTATCTGATAAAAATTCAGCAAAATTAAAGCAGATTTTCTCCTTTTTTGAATTAATTCAAAATTATTAAAAAGGTTTATTGCATGCATATAAAAAAAAGTTACATTTTGTTATGAATCTCTTTGTGACTATACTTCTCGTTAAACACTTCTAGTTTTTTAACTATGAATGTTTAATGTGTGTAAATTAATAACCAAATTTCCTATCCTAATCGTAAATTAATAATCAAATCAACTATCCTTTTTTTATACATAAATAAATCCTAGAAAACCAATTTTTAAAAAATGCTTCAAATGTGTACTGTTTTGTGATGATAGACTTAATTCTGTAATTTTTTTTTAATTCAGTTTTGTTTTCTATTCATTCTAGATAATAATGTTATTTTGCTATGTATACTTTGACATGAACTGAAATTTATTTTCAGAATCTATCTAAATTCACAGATGTGAAAACAGACCTCATAGAAAATACTTATGTATATATATATACCAAAAAAAAATTTGGAGACATAGAAATGAGGTGCTCTTCATCAGTATACCGGATTAATTAAACTATATAGAAAATAGAAATATTTAAATTAATAAATAACAAACAATACTACATATTAAATAAATACTAGTATAATATAATAATAAATAGTTTTTTAGTTGAAGAAGCATATTTCTTTTGGATAGTATTTTCCACTGTGGAAGAAACTTGCAAATTCTGCCTTCAATATTTCTCTCAAAATTTTAAATGAAACTAACTTTTGGAGCACAGAAATTAAGTAACATATATTTGCTATGAAAGCTGTAAAAGTGGAGATTTCTGTTATTTTTAAAGAGTGTATAAAAATTTTCAAAGACAATTTTTACTGTGTGCTTTTTCTCAGAAATAGAAGGAAAAGAAAAAGAAAAGTTTTAACACGTGTCAGTATTGATAAATGCATTTCTATTGTGATTTTTAATCTAAAATGTTTATTCCATATTTAACTTTCCTTCTAGCAATGGAATGATCTAAAATTAGTAATTTTCATTAAATTTTGTTTTTTAAGCTATTATTGTTACATTTGATCATAGTAGAGTATTATGTATGAATATTTTTCACCCCCTTTAAAATACAAATTAATACTTTTGGAATGCTTTTTATTACATAATTATTTTAAAATGTAGATCAATTAAAAGTTATGGAAATATTTAATGATTTTGTAAAGTGGATTAAATATAAATAAATACTATACAGTACAAAGCCCGAGATCTGGACTCGTTGGGACTTCAAGAATTTGGAATTTTTTCAGATATCAGATCATCAGTTTAAATCTAGTAAAATGATGTATGTTGAAAATTTATTAACATATGGAAAGTTGCAAATTGTAATAACATAAAAAATTAGAATCATTTGCATCACTGCATAAGTCATTACTCAAGCTGCCATAAGCTGGGAATCATGGAATGATGGAAAGATGGGACGAATGTTCCCTGTTTGGTGTCAGGGATATAAGTTATTAAATGTTAAAAATCAGTGATAAACTTTAATAAAATGGTTTTAGTTTGAAATGTATGCCAAGCAAAGAGCAGCTATGGAGCAAATTATTGATCATATAGATTTATGCTAATAAATGTTTGTACTTCTTCAATATGGAGATATTTTATTTAGTGTCGTAGTAAAATTAAGAACCCACTATGCAATTTATTAATTAAAAGTATTAAATGAACATGTGTTTAAAGCATTAAGCAAACAAGAAATCTCTACAAAAATCTTCAAAATCTTGTCCAGATTTCGGACTTCATATTGTGTTTCTTCTATTGTGTCACTAAATTTGCAACTTATCATCATGTTGATGATTTTGAGATCAATTTGTCTGAATAAATTTTAATTTGGATATTTGTGAATGTTATGGGACGTTAAAATAATGATAATATATTCAAATTATATTTTTAGTTATTAGGATAAAAATGTTTTATTTCCCTGTCTTTTTTTTTTTTTTTTTTTTTTTTTTTTTTTTTTTAGAAGCTATTGTTGATATTTTAACATTTATTTCATTTATTTACTTTTATAGTTTTGCCAATAAGAGGTTCTCCCTATGTAACAATTTTAAAGTATTCAGATGTGTGTCAACTTTCTCTGTAAAATTCTCTCTACACTTTTTTCTTTCCGATTTTTTTTTTTTTTTTTTTTCAAAAACTTGTGGGGATTTTTTAAATTTACTTAACATTATTTTATGTTTAAGCAACTTTCCTATTGCTCTTTTTTTCTGTGTAAGAATACAAATCGAATGTGCATGTGTTCGAATGAGGTAGAAAGAAGTTAGTATTTAAGGGAAGGTTTTGGAAGAAATTAGAGCATGTTCTGCCTGAAGTCCATATTGCCAACTTTGATTATCTTGCCATTAGGTTTGTTTACATCTATTTTTTGAGTCAGCTTGGGCGATGGTTAACCTGTGGAGTCATTAGGCTATCTTAACTTCATTACTCTCAAGTTATTCATTAGTTTTTAAGTTAAGCCAAAAGCAACAGTTGGTGCTGATTGTGAACTTGAGTTATTAAAGGTTGCTTTACATTCTTCTCCTGAGTTGTACTTTTAAAGACTTGCTGATTATTTACTATACAGTTTTCTAGCATCAAGTACATTTTATGATAGCCAAGCATACAAGATGTTATAAACTCTAATAAATTTTTGAGGTGTGATGATGTGTTGCTGTTGAGGCAATTTTTCTCTATATACATTGCATACCTGTTAAAGTTCTAATAAGATTTGAAAGCAAGATCCACAGCTATTGGTTTAAACCCCAGGAAAGGCCTTTGGACAAAATAAATAAATAACTAAAATAAAGAAGAATAAACATAAAAAAGAATAAACACAGAATAGACATTGCATTTTATGATGAATTTCTTTGACTATTTGCAGAATTTTTGGAAAAAATTATGAAACCGCAATTATTTCAGTTTGTACATTTGATCCCATCAATAAAGATATAGGTAATTGATAATTCAAAACATACATGTTATATATTTCAATATGCCATATTATTATTTCAGAAAGTTTTGTAGATTTTTTCCCAATATTGATGTAAAGAAATAAGAATAGGTACTTTTTTTGCAGATTTTTAGAACAACAAAAATATATATCTAAATTTGAAAATTCAAAAATAAAGCAAACAATTATTAACTAAGAAACTGATTATATTGGGTTTTAATGAAAGTTTCCCGCCACTGTAAATATCATCTTCGCAAAATGTTCGCGTTGGAGTATTTAATCATATTTTGTCAAACGATTTTTTGTGTTTGAAAGTAAAAGACTTGCTTTAGTGAAAATTGTAAAAAAATATCATTATCATTAAGTACAAGGTATCTGAAATCGAAGTGTCATGCTATTAGATTAGAACCATCATTTACTTTCAGTTTTGTTGAAAAAAGTCAGCTATAGAATGTCACCAAATCATGTGTACAGCTTTAGATGCTAATGTTGTGTCATATGACACTGTGAAGTTTAGGTACCAAAAGCTCAAAAACAAGGATTATGAGACATTCAAGAAGTAGAGAGCTCTGGCTAGTCTACTGATGTTGATGAGGCCCACCTGCAAGAACTTGTGGAAAAAGATTAGTAGACAACCACTCGAGAACTTGCTAAGGAGTTAGACGTCAGTGCCATGTTCATTAGTCATACTATGCATCTTGTAAACTTGATGTACAACTTCAATCACTGGGTGGTGCACGAGCTGGTAAGGACAGATGTGTTCGGGCTGCAGTAATCTGTTCGAATATCAATGCAAGGACAAAATTTTGGACAGGATCATCACTTCAACAACATAGGCCGAAAAGGTCTGCGCCTGGTGAGCCTGTCAGCAGCATCGCAAAATGCTAATTTATCGAATTCTTATTTGCTGATGAGTCCTTAAATTTTTTTTATTGATGGTCCTGAAAAGTCTATAAAGGTTAATTTCTATGTGCAGAAATATGTACAAAGCTTGCATATAACCTCGCATATTCATCAGTTGAACAGTTAAGAATGTTTCATGTTTGATACTTGATTCCAAGTCACTCACCTGAAAAGGAAGGGACATGAAAAAGGGTCAGAGAAAATATATTTTTTTCCCCGCAAAATGAAAAGGAAAAAGTATAAATCAATCCTCTGAATTTATTTTTGAATAATTGACAAGCAATTAACCATCTTAAAAAGAAAGCAAATTATGAGTTACTTTTATATATTCTTTATTAAGAAAAATCTTCCTGTTCTTTTAAATCAGAATTAATTTATATTTTTTATCCTAGGTGTGTGTTAATGAAATTATTATTTCTAAGATGGTGACAATGGAACTTTTAATGCATGATTTCAAATTGCAAAATTCAGAAGCCAGATGATCTGCAAAAAATCTATTTGTATTTTTCTAATTTTTGCATACATTATTTAAAATTGGTGTGTTATTAGAGACATAATCATTTTATATGCCTTTCCATGTGATTTGTATTTTTGTCGTTTTTTATTTGTATTAGTAACTAGCTTTTCATAATCATGGTTTTATTGTAAGATTTATTTTCATTCAGGATTTATGAAGATAGTTTCACAATTTATGTAAATCAGCATTTACTATTATATCTTGTATTTGTCATTTTATGTAATATTAATTTTCATAAAAATTAATAAATTTACTTGAGTATATTTTGTGCCAGTTAATTCTGTTACTTTTTATTTGGTGTCATGAGAAAATGATACAGTACAAAGTCTGAAATCCATATGTCCATTATCTGGAATGATCTAAAATCCAGATGTCAAAACCACCATTTATTCGTTACGCATTCACATTTGATTCTCCCTTCCGCACATAATAAAACATCTGGAGAGTCCTGATTCTTAATTTCACTTCAACACTAAATATTGTTATTGAAGAAACAATCATTTTAGCATAAATTTGTACGATCAATAATTTGGTTTCCTTGCTGCGTATCTGCTTTGGCATACAACTCAAACCGAAACATTCCACATAGATACATCTTTGATCTGATGCCAACCTTCCGAATCATTATTTATTATACTTTCCTTTCATCACCGCATGTTTATCAAAACATAACAACTTGAGTAATGACTCATGTAGCGATGCTTAAACAATTTTTTTATGGTAGTAATTGAATAATAAATGAGTATGGTAACCTTTTATGTTGACATTACACTTGTCGATGATTACAGATTTAAGTTAAATGCGCTACACTACTTCAGGCGTAATTGTCTCAGTGCGCGATTGAAGCAAGGTAAAATTTAACGGAACAACTTGTTAGTCGACAAGCTCGTGATGCATAGCCAAATATGTATAATGAAGGATAGCTAAATTTGATCATGATAGCCGCTAATTTAAAAAGTTTTCGGATATCGCAAAACAAAGATGAAATTTTCCAATTAATGGATTTTGTGGTTGGATCCTAACAGAGCTTACACTCTTGGCTCGCCCACTTATATGGAGCGTATCGATGTGTACATGGACGAAGTCAAGGGAGTGTGCGATTCTCTGATGTTTTTTAAAGAAAAAATAGGTCGATGTGTACATGGATACTGAGTTTGTGCAATTCTTTGGCTTGTTATTTTTAAGTTAGCGAATTTGAGAAACATGCAAAGCAGTGTGTGATTCTTCACGTTCACAGTTTGTCGCCAAGGGTGTGGGCTCTCCTTGGATTTTACCTATTTTGCAAAGAAATGTGGAGAAGCGGTAATAAATGAAGGTGATATAAAAGGAATTTTTTCATTGTGATGACAATGCTTCTCAATCATAAATCATTAATGAATGGCAAAATCTGTAGTATTTTTCTAGATCCACAAAATACTGCTACCGATAGTGAAGAAAGTGACAGAGAAGTTAAAACGAGAAAATTTCGATTGACAAGTTAGTTGGAATTCTTGAAACAGCAGTTGCATTACTTCAAGATTATGTCTGTCTACAGAATTAAAGAGAAAGTATTAGCACAAAAAAGTGAAGCATCTTAAACAATTTACATTGAAAGAAATGCTTAATAAGGTAAACAAATAAACATTAAGCATTTTTTTAGTAAATTTTGATACCCCTTTAGATCAAGAAATACTTCATTATTTCATAAATCATGATTTCATATTTTTAATTTTATAATTTATAATTTCTACATGCCATCTTACTAGATTTAATCCTTTGACGCGCGGTGGTCGTGCCCTGAAACCACCAATTTTCGAATTTTTTTCCTCCTCCTCTTCCGAAATTTTTGAGTGAAGATCAATTGATTACTGATCTTTTACCTCTACATAACACAAAATGACTGCAGAATCATACATGTTTTAGGTCTTAGTACTTCCAATCGGATGCCTTTTAAAATTCGTTTTCAATAATATCGCACGCGTCAAAGAGTTAAATTGATTATCTAATATCCGAAAAAATCCGGTTTCGCTGAAGTCCCGACGTGTCCAGATTTCGGACTTTGTACTGTATAAACAAATTTATATTGCTGGAAACCAAACTCTCTTTGCACTAATTCTTTATTTCATAAGAATTCGAACTTAAATAAAATCATTTTTAATAACCCAGTCATCTGTGGTGCTAGTTGTATTACACCTGCATTTTAGAAAGTTCCTGATTTTGCTCAAAGTATTGTTCAAACAGTCTTTTACTGATATCTAAATCCTTTTCGATCTGAAAATCTACCTCCTTTGTATGCATAATGTAAAGCTTGATAGCTCAGAATATCCATTTACTGAAACAGACAATTTAAGTCTCTGAAGTTTTTAAATTTGATTGTATTGATGCTTTAGTAAGTGAGTCTGTAGTTAAGATGACCAAATTCATGCAATAATATTTAATGAAAATTGGTAAATAAAGGATATCCGGAATAAAAAGTTTTTAAAAATTTATTTTGAAGTATAAAAATGCCAGTAAATATTACATAGCAGCATTGTACATATCAAAATTCATATGAAATATATATCAGAAAATTACACACTTTCAATAAACTTGGAATTCATTCACTTGGCTTCTGAAAACATGGAAATTATAAGGGATAAGTCTTAATATTATTTATATGAAATTTCTTATAGGATATCATTGCGTGAATTATTTTCTCTGTGTAAAATCACTGTTGGATGCTTTTGTTTTACACTAATTTGTATTCAAAATTTTATTTTAGCATTAGGCTTAACATGAGATACCTTCATAACCATGCCTCATAATAAAGGTATTGGCTACTTTGCACAAGTTTGTCAGTTTGTGTAGACAAAAAACAATGGTGCTCTCAGCATATAAGTATCAATACCTTCATAAAGATTAATTTTAAACTTAAAAGCAACTTTCATAAGGGGACTGGTAACTTGATTCTTGGACATCGTAATTCAAATAGAATTTTTGTTTGCTTTTCTAATTTATTAAAATTTGAATGCACAATCTACAGCTTTATCATAATTACATTTTTTTTCTCTAAAGAGAATTTTTTAACACTCCCTGCAGTTGCTTTTATAAGTGAAATTTTTTAGAAACACTCCAGAAAGACTATAACTTTCAAAAAAGGAATTATGCCCTCTATTTCTTAATGCACTACATATGCTTTTATACCTACAGTAAATATTTGTAAAATTAAATCAACCCAGAGCAAGTGGTCATTTAATAGTTTTATAATGCTATAAATTACTGCTAAAATCATCATCATTATTTTTTGTTACTTATTTTAAACTTCAACCAATTAAAATTTATTTTTTAAAAAACTTTATTTTTTATTATAATTGTTTTATGATTGGTTCATTTATTGAATACAATTCATTACTTACAGAAGTTTGTCAAACCTTTGATTTTACACCATTGTTTTACTAACAAAATTGCCACCAAAACGAGAAATGAGGACAACTCTGATGCAATGCAATGTTTTTCTCAAATAAGCAAAAAATTATACGTGATGAAAAATGTACACTGTGCAAAAAAAGGCGGTGACAGTCCTATATATCCCGTTCTACTGTTAACAAAATTCAACTCGCGTTTTTCGTGCCACAAAAGTACGACTTCGGATATGTATTAGATTTATGTATAGCATTGTTCTAATGTAGGTATTTTAACGCTAAATCGGACTTTTTCTGAAATGACATGCCAATTTTTTCAATATTTCGATTCTATGACTCAAGTTATGCCAAGTTTTAAAAAATTAGCTCTCAAAATTTCAGCTCTTCAGTGCTGATTCAGAGTTGCCAACTCTCCCGATTTAGGCGGGAGACTCCCGATTTTCGACCGCTCTCCCGCCAATCCGATTTACAATATATTTCTCCCGACTTTTTCTTATTCTTAAAATTTCTCATGATTTTTATGCAATTTGGCTTAATACTTTGTTATATGAATAAAAAAAAGTGCTTTTGGACATCTGAAAGCAATTGAATTTTATCTACATTATATCTAAAACAAAACCTTGCGAATCAGTTTCTGCTTTGTGAGTGAGAGCATTACACATATCCAGAAACGTCGTTCTAAAGTTCTCCAATGGGCTTCGAGATCCACTGCGTGTCAGCTGGCATATATTAGCCAATGAGGACAAAGCAAGTCGTTATTTGGATGTTCTTTAGTTATTTCGTTAATTTTGTCCTGAGTTGTGTGAGTACACGTGCCTTAAAGAAATAGTTTTAGAAATTATCATCTTTTGTTACGTCTGCGAGAAAGGTGAAATACTCGTGTACGTTTCAAAAATCATACACAGTTGACGTTCCTTCCATTATTTCCTCAAGAAAATGTAATAAATTTGCGATGTGTACTGCCTGTCGTTGCGATTGGAAGACTGGTGTTGCAGGCATCTTAAAAAAGGAAAATTCAGATTTTTAGATTATGAGGTGCACCTGTCACTTCTTAAATTTAGCAGCTGAAAAAGGGGCAGCTTCTTTACCAATAAATGTGGATGAACACATTGTTGATATTTATTATTATCTTGAAAGGAGTTCTAAAAGGAAGGAAAAATTGAAACACTTCCAACAGCTGCATAACAGCAGTTTACAATTAGAAAACTTGGATGAAGTTATAGAATCAGCTAGGATTGACACCCAGTGGAGTTTAATTGGAAAACTGAAAGGTGCTGATGGAATTTAAAAATTTAGTGAACTGTCTAGAATTGTGTTGGCCATCTTGACAGTTCCCCATAGTAATGCAGAATGTGAGAGGATTCTCAGTGTTGTTTCGAAAACTAGGACTAAATTTAGTTTTAATATTAGTGATGGCACATTAGAAAAACTACTATTAGCGATAGCAGGCCTACGTGGCAATTGCTGTGAACAAAATTATAAAGTTTCTTAAAGAAAGCAAAATCTGGCACTGTTTATAACATTTGTGCGAAAACTGATTAAAGTGTCTTTTTTTTTTTTTCTCTTAAATGATGCAAGTAATAAAAATGTTTTTTATGTGTAAGGTATTTTTGTGTTGCTTGCATTTAAGAATTAGTTACTATTTAAAGTTAATTCATTATTAAAAACTATGTTTTTATCATTTAAAAAGTCTTTTTTAACATTATGAAAAATCTCCTTATTTTTGAGTGTCATAGGTTGGCAAGTATGCGTGATTGAATTTGATATATATTTACTAATATCTCTTTTTTTTTTTTAATTAAACTTACTTCTTCCAGAATTCAAAATTTAGGCTTAATCCAATATAATTTGCACATTTTTTATGATTTTTAAATTTGTATTTT